TTAGAACGGGTATGTTAAGCTGGGATTCCTCCTTTAAGATCAGACTTCTTTTCCTCTCCTAGCCTGTAGCACAGAGTCAGTAAGGCAGTGAAAGAGCATCCCAGAAACCACAGTTTTTGCTCTCAGTGAAATTCACTGAAATACTGATTCTAGATTTACGTATGATCTTAGGTTTTGCTATAATGTCTTCTGAAAACATAGAAGACCATTGCTGCACACACAACCCAAAGAATTAAAATAAAATGATGGAAGACAAACGCCACAGCATCTCTCCATAAAGTGAGTGAGTAGAAAAGGCAGTATGAAAGTTCTATCAGATTAACCTTCACTAGGTACAGTTTTAAGGGCATAAGGAGATGATTTGTTTATAAATAAAATCAATAGTCTTCAGACCCCAATTTCCCAGAAAGGATGCAGATTTCTGCTGGGCAGCTGATGTAGAATGCTGACACTGGTGAAGAGCAGGCCAGCACGTGCAGGGGCCAAACTATCAGGCCTGTGACTGTTGCTTGTGCTTTACTGAAGAAYCCACTCACTTCTACAGTCTGACAACTCAAATTTATTGTGTTTCCACGGTCTGCTTTAGGATCCTTTTTTCCTACACAGGATTTCCCAGAAAGGAGCGATCAGAGATCCTTTTTAGGATAGAGGGAGTAAAAATACTATTTTTATTATACTGACTCTGTTGATTACTTATTATTTCATTAGTGTTTTGAATTACTGCACATAGGCTCAGACATTTTCCAGCAGCACATTTTTAAATCCAGGTAAATAAAGCAACATTTAAATCAATTTATTGTCTCCCTTCTTATTTTACTAATGATGAAATGCAAGTCCTATAATACAGAAATACTCAATGTTGTATTTCTAATACATGCTTATATACCTACCCAAACAGTGTACTGGGGTTCTGGAGTACTGCAGTCCTTTGCAAAAATGTAGGAGCAATTTCCAGGGAAGTAGTAGTAGATGCCATCAAATGTTTCAAAATGATACTGTCCCCATGACTTGCAAATCCCATCTCGGTCCTTACCACTGTTAGGTACTGGAAAAAACACAGAATTTTAAACAAGAACATTAGTCAAAAATTGACAGGTTTCACAGCCATGAAGTAAGAGATTTTAAAAAACTAATAGCTTCTAAAGGAAATATGGAAAAGTACCAGAGATTCTTATTTGTCCAGCTTCAAATAAAGTCAGTAATTTTATTTTTCTTTTAATCTTCAGGGTACAATTTTAATCAAGTAACATCATAATTAAGTTTTGAATTTGTTGCAGTGGGGCATTTTAATTATAAATAGAGGCAAAGAGTTTAGATTTACAGCAGATGCTGGGCCATGATTCTTGCTGATCCTTACACACAGCAGATACCAGAAAGCAGAGCTTTAGAACAGCTGATCATTTTTTTTTGCAATAAATCACTGTTGAGAAAATGCAGTGGCTTTTTGATTATGCAGTTRAATAAGAAAACCTGGTTAGCTGACGATATACCAGATAGTATTTGCTCTGGCATCTGTGTATCATTAGAGCCCAAATCTAAAACACAGACATACCAGATGATGATCTATAAATTTTCATTAAGATACGCAATTTGAATCCTCTTTGCTACTACTTGAGTGACAGCCCAACTACAAGCATGCTGTGAGCCAAGTAGTTTTTACAACCTGCACCTTCTATCTCAGCTGAACTTGAAACTCAATTCTTTTGGCCCCAGACTTACCAATTTGGCACCTGTTTCCTTGAGCCTGAAATATCTGACAATCACATTCCCCTGCCTCCGTACAAACTGCTCCATTAAGGCACCCCTGAGGACAAGAACCTGCGAGCAAGTAGAACAGGGTGTTTTTTAGTAGAAACAGTATTTTGCAAACGGCCTCAGATTATTTATTGTAGCAGCTATCTTAGCTAAGAAAAGTAACCAGCAGCAATGTCCAGTTTTCAACATTTTCTCACTTCTATCCTTTGTGTTCCCTGCTTAGGAGAGATCTGGGGTTCTCTCTCTGGGTTTCAGACTTGTAAGCTAGCAAAGGAGCAGGAGGTCAGCCTCCTCCCAGCTAACAAAAGGTCACGTTCCCATGTAAAGCAACCAAATCCCAGTCCTCCTCATCTAGAAATACATGGGACGCAGATTACTCCAAGTGGCTAAATTCAGTACAATTTATACGTATGTTCAGCTCCTCCCTCCTAAGCTTCATGTACCCTTTGCTGTTATGCTTATGAACGGTCTAGAATATATAATTTCCAAAGTCCAAATCAGTTATAAATAACCTTCCCTTCATGCTAAGAAAAAATAAATGACCAGAGTCAGAGACTTAAGATTCCATGGGAATGGCTCGTTTTGTATCAGTGATTGTGGCTAAAAGTAGCTTCATTAAATGTCTTTATTTTATGCTCACAAGCTAAGACCTCGCTGCTCTCTGCCAACCATGTGCACTAAGAAGGCTCTAAGTCATCACTCCCCAATTGAGGGGGAAAAACAGAGTCATTACCCCAATTTTAGCAGGTTTTGGAGCAGCTCCTTTCCCTCTCAGGGCAAAAACTAAACCCCTCAATACAAGCCCCTACAATCCCATAGAGATTAAAAAGCATTGCAAAAATGTAAATAAATAAAATGAAGCAGTAAATAAAATAAASAGACCTTTCTGCTTGCAGCAAACCCACACTAAAGCTGCTAACAGCACAGATGAGAACCAAAAACTGGACTTTTCACAGTAAAAGCACTCACAGAAGCAAGGATCCATTCAGAACATTGACCTTCACCGTGAAAACTCCTGTTTTACAAGCTTAGTTTTCACCTTCTTCCATTTTAAAAACTGTTTTCCTGATATATGTATGCCAAGGCTCTGGAAACAGAGACAAGGCAAAAGGTACGGCATATAAAACAGCAGTACCACAGAAACCCTATTTTCTATAGAACTGGTGAGCTATTGTATCTGTATGTATCTATATAASGTAGCCTGCGGTACTGACCTGGAGGACTCCGGGTAAAGGCCCGGCGAAGGCGAGACCGAGGGGAGGCAGCGTGGTCCTAGGGGAGACAGAGACAGGCACAAGGCGCCGGTCAGCGCATCGGCAGCGCTGTGGGGATAAGCCTGGCCTTGCAGGGCCATGGGGACTGCAACCAACTTCTTGCAAYGTGGAGGCTGCAAATGGGGCACGTGGGGCTATGGCAACCTGCCGTGGGGACAGCAAGGAACAAGGCCCCACAACTCTGCGGGGAGCGGAGGACTGGGGATGGCTGAGCAGGAGGGTCGTCATCCTTGCCCTCCACGTTGGCAACATGGACAGGCACGTTGGCCTTTAGACCCCCGCTTTGGCTGGGGACACACGTCCATCTGCCAGGCCCGGGGCTGCAAGGAACGCCTGGAGCCTCTTCAGCCCTAAGCTAGTGCAGCTTGTCACGTCCTATCCCAAGAAGAGGTCACATTCCCTGGGGAAAGCACTTGGGGGGCTTTGCCCTCATTAGCCTGAGTGGGAATTTTATCAGGGTGAAGTGCTGGGTAGCTAGATTCCCTGGTGCATTTACTCGTGGCTATTTTATATCCTTTTGCTTTATACAACAGTGTCCTTCTCCTTAAGYAGCTCTTACCCTGTGTTTTCATTTGGTCCCTCTCAGACATATTTACAGGAAAAGAGTTGCCCTCTGCTGCTCCCCACACGCACCCACCAGCCCCCCGCTGCACAAGAAGSAAAATAAACCCAAGAGGCTTTTTGTCCTTCACCCCCTGCTCAGCATTCCCTGTGCTTGGAGAGGGCTTGGAGTTTGAACTAATGGGTCTCAGAGTGACCAGGGCTGTATAATAAACATTACAGAGTAAGGCTCACCAGCGCTTTACACAGTAACATAAATGCTTCCCTTTTCCCACTGTAAATACTTTAGCAGAATTTGCTTTTTTCATGGCAACAAAAGTCAGCGTGGAACTGAACCAGATCACACAGTGGAAGGGTCCCCATTTCAAAAGCAAAAATTATTCTTAGTCCTAATAGCCTGTCATTATCCAGAGTGGTTCCTTATCATCACTAGACAAAAACACCCATTTCTGTTCCCTGTATTCAGTTACTTTAACTCAGCAAAGCTGTTTTTTTTTTTTCCTGTCTATTATTTTTGAGGCACAACATCTCTGCTGTGACACTAATTTCCTGTTGCATCCCCTTCTTTATTGGGTGCAGCCCTAGGTGCGTGTTGGAGTGAGGGTGTCCCCAAGCTGCAGGAGCCGGGGCTGGGCCATGGCCACCCCTGCAGCTACAGCAGGAGCCTCACCTATGGTTTCACCATTGCTCTTCTCCCCAAACACTAACAGCTTTCTGGGGCTGCCACAAAGGACCRAAGAGCCGCACTTTCATTTCCCATGGTGTGTACCCATCAGTTTGTCAGGATGGGTAATTCAGGGCGCATTTTGATAAGAATGAATGAATGAATGAAAGAGCGAATGAATGAAGGCTGTGGGTTTAGGTTTGAGGCAAGCAGGTAGCCACTCCTCTGCCCTGTCCTCTTGTTCCCGCTGCTGTTCTCCTTACAAAGGCTCCCTTGTCACCAGAGCCAAGCCCCAGGGCAGAAAGGGAGGGAGGGAGGGCTCCTCCCGTGCCGGATCACTCTTTTGGAGGCATAACCTACCTCTGCTGYGAAGAGATCTCTTTTCTGTCGAGCTGCATTAAACTCAGTTCTGGAAGAAAACAAAAAGCATCTTGTATAATCAAAGGTCTCCGGAGCAACCTGAATAAGCAGTGCCCCTGAGAGAGGTGTTTCGCTCTCATTTCCAGCACTTTATCAAAGAGGTCTTTCTTGGGTTAACATTCAAAAGGTGACTTTTTTTTTTTTTCCTTTTCATGGTCTCCTTTTACAGAATTCAACAGTGCTCCAATCTCTGCTCTCATACGTGGGAGGCTTGTTCACGGAGGTGCAGAGGGTTTACAGGGGAGAGAACACCAGCAAAGAAGACTTATRCGACAGGATACCAAATTGTGAAGTTGCTTCATACATACGCAACAGTGCGTGTGTAGGGAGTTCTCCCTAGGGTTATTTCAAGGTGCTACGATGGTACCTTTAAACACAAAAGATGACTGTCCAGCTGTAACTTACTTAAATCCATGATTAACTTCTTTCTTTTTTTTAGAAACAATAGCACCAAACTACAAAACATGATTTTATCAACAGTCCAAGATGTTATCATCATTTATTATGCATCTGTGTTCACTAGATGTATCTGAGGTCATTAGACATCCAAAGCTATGTTTAACTGAACACTTCTATTGAAATTGATGGCATAGTTCCCATTTAATTCAATGGGATCAGGAACATTCCCTAGTTTGGGGTTTGTTTGGATTATATCTTCTACATAAAAGCATGTATTGAAAGTGTTTATTTAAGGCAGTATAGCACTTACTTTTTTGTGCTTCAAATAGCAGCTAGGATTTTATCATGCAATTAAAAATGTTAGAAAGTTATTCTTTTAATGTATTTTTCCAGACATGAAATAATGACCTCACCCTAATTTCATGCTATTATTCCTCTAAACTTTTTTTTTGAAACCAGAGAAGCATCATTCTTCCTTAGTACCTCAATTTTTCAAAATGAGGATCCATGGCCTTTATGTAAGTTTTTTGAAGAGAGTTGTAAACATTCTGAAAGCACATTTTTACATCCAAGCTACTAAAAATTGCACATTCAAGACTACATTTTACTTCCTAACTTGTACTGTGTCAGATAAACCCTATTCATTCTTGTTCTGTTTTTAAGACTTGACAAATAGGGAATAAAAACTTACCTTGAAGTTCTTTTCAAAAGAGAGAACTTGCAATATGATCCTGTAGATTGAAAATCATTGAGTTAGTTTATTTTTTTCTACAGCCTCACCCTGCATTTGACAAACAACAATTTCTTAGGTTTAAAAAAACTCAGCTTAATTTTATTTTTTAAAAAATATAGCTAATGATGTTTTTCCAGATAATTTTTATGCTGCCAGCAAGAAGAGGATCAATTCAGAACTGATAAAATGCAAGAGGTGCTCAGAGCCATCCAGAATCGTATTTCTATATATACCTATACTTTTATATATGTATATACCTATAATAATTTGCTGAATGTTACCTATAAAATTCAATTGCAATCCATTGAAAACATTACAGATCCCAGGGATTTCTTGGAATGAGAATGTTCTTTCTCATTTTGCCTTAGAAGTCTTTATAATTGCTCCAAGGGAACTGTTTACAATATCCATTTGCACTACATATACTGATAAAAAAAGGGCTAGTTTATATAACCAGAAGAGTGATTATTTATTCTAGAGTTCTAAAAATGTTCAAACAAATTGCAGGTGCAGCCTGCGCTTCATCAAAAAAATCATACTCTACTCAACATCATTATCTGATTGTGCATCTGACAATAACATGATCAGAAAAATTAGTTTTTCAATTCTTCTGTAAAAAAATCAAGTTTAAAAAAAMWTWWAAAAAAAATAAAAGAAATACTTTGATTTCAACAGAAGCCAGAGAAAATGGTGAGATATGTTTTCTCAACTGGTGTTATTCTGCTGACTCCAATAAGGGCCATAAATGTTTTGTCTTACAATGAAAGAAAAAAAACCTACTTGTATTGCTGAAATATTTAGAAAAAATATATATATTTTTAAAAGCTAGTACTAGCATAAAAATTGAATAATGTTCTTACCTTGCAAAAAGAACAGCAGAAAATGAATCAAGAATATGCTCCAAGGTATCATTAAATTGAGCTTTCCCACTATGTTCATTTCAATATAACTTACAAATAGAGAATTTATCACAATTAATGGCTTTGATTATGACGGCATCTTAGAAATAAGTATTTCTATTGTGTGCTTAAATCCTTTAAAAATTAGGTAGATTCATTATTTAAAACTATATAATGCAAAAAAAAAAGAAAAAAGGAAAAGAAAAAGGAAAAAGAAAAGAAAACATCAAGCTTGGTCGCCACGTCGAGCTTCAGGAGCTTTACAAAGGTTGCATATAGCTTTCTTTTTTTTGCATATCTCTCATTAGAAATGCACGGTAGCTGCTCGGCAGCCCGTATTCGTTACCCTTCCACCGGCGCTGCGAGCCTCCCTTCTCTATTGAATTGAAGCGGCCCTTTATAGCAGGGCAGACAATGGCATGGGACGAAGCTCGGCCGTGTCGTGACGCTCTGAGAGTCCCCCCAGGCGTCACGTCCCCTTGGTGCGCATGGAGGCGTGCGTCAAGCACGCTGCCCTTTGCACGTTTATTACAGGGAAAACACTCAGCTCTTTTAACACCTGCTCCGGTGTTACTGCATCAGGGAGCAACACGGGAACCTCTAAAAACAGTCTGGTTTCAATGTSCCTCGTTGGTTCTAAAAGGGGAGACGTCAACTTCCATTAAATAACACACCTAGATGTTGAGGAATATTTATAGATACTTTCGTTGGAGTAGTGTCTTCTTATATAACAAAAGAAAACTTCCGAGACATTCCTTTTTTAATGAAGTGTTTTGAAAATCTCTTTAGCAGAAAGCAGAAAAGTCAGCTAAGCTAATGGGTTTCATTCCTATTTTTCCAAGAAAATATATTTTTTAAAAAATTAAATTTAAAAATGACCAGAGYTAAAATGGAAACAAAAATTACTCARTCCTAAAAAGTAATAGAAACATTACAAAAGCATAGTTTTAAAAACATGTACTTCTTGTTAAAACTGTTACTACTGCCAGTCTTATTTTTAAAGCCTCTCTTGCCTAAACCTCCACTCTTCCCAAGATGTGTTTTGTAGCATGCTCACAGAATCCTACAAAATTTAGTTTTGAATCAAAAGTGAATTCAGAACTTGGTGACCTCTTGGTAGTCATCAAGATTTCCCCAACAATTCTTCAAGCCCTTTCTCTTGTTCTCTCCCAGTTGGCCTAGGAGTGAAAGCAAACAGGCAACCTCTCCAAATGAAAATTTACTAAAGACCCACTGAAATGTGTTATTTGTCCACATTCTTTTTCATTATTCCAGAAATCCTAAGGCAAAAATATTTCCTAGCACAGAGACTTTCTTCACTACATTCTTTGTTCTGTCATCTGCATCAGTAGCTCTGGATTTGGAGGACTGAACAAACTGTTATCATCTATAAACATCAGTAATATGTAGTAGTTGATCAGAGGGGATAACCTGAGGTATGTTTGCATCAAGGAGCAAACACACAACTTTGACTGAATTTCCTGACTTGCTACCATCCACCTTGCCACCAGTTAAAGATGCAGCTGTAGACGTGGCTTATACCACCGGGTACTGCAGCTCRTGAAATGTTGGATCTCTACTTTCATAAGTGAAACATTTGAATCTGTAAAGCTGACATCTACACAATACACATTCAGGAGGGCTTTTGCTTTGTGTTTTTTTCTCTAACCAGCTCACAGCTAGTCCCATGGGCTGAGTACTCAGCAGCAGTTGAACTGCATCCACCAGTTTAATTTCATCAGCTCTACTTAGTCCAAAACCACTCCATGCTGCAAACCAAAGCAGAAGTGAACTCCCCATTGAAATTAAAACATTAATGTAGTCAGACAGTCCAAACATCTGCCTTGCAGGAGGTGGCAGAGACTAATTGACTTTAGTCTCTTGTAAATTTATTGTTAGATGAAATGGCTTGTTGCTGCCTAATCCAAAATGCATCACCAGCTTCTTACTCTGTTTTCAAGTTAAGACTGGTTCCTCATCCCAAACAAGCCCGTATTGCACATCATGCTTCATACACAAATTCACAGATGATTCTTTCCATTAATACATGTTGGCTTTTTAGTTGAACAGGAATTATTTTAAGTAGCATTTTCCACAATTATTTTGTAACTAGGTTGAGAAATATTTGGTTCATTACCATGTTAGTATTTCACAGTTTGACTTCTGATTCTTAAAAAAAGTAGACTAAGCTGTAAAGGAGCTTTGGAAGAGTGAGATGAATAGGTTTCCTTAGGTTTGGTTATCACTGCTCAGTGAAGGGTGGAAATAGCACAGTTCCAAAGGAATTAAGAGTATTAGTTAATAGGGGAAAAAAATTATTCAGTCAAATACACTGAACTACTCATAAGACTATTTTAAGAAAACAGATTTTTTTTTTTTTTTTTTGAATCTAATTACATCCTGGCAATGACTTACATTAGCTACACAAGCAGTAGAACTTTCACAGATTATGACTTCTGAAAAGAAAATTAAACAAAAAAAAAAGATTGTATTGTAGAAAATAATCACATTGGTAAGAAAATGAACTCTGAGAACACACTAGCTTACATTTAAAAAAACGAAAAGYGACATGTTTAAATTACACATTTTTCTTTAAAAACTTCTCAGTGTTTATACATTTGCCTATTAAAGTCAAAATTAATTTGCCCTACAGTTCCTAATATAGTAACATTTAAGAGGGCTTAATTTTATATACAGCTTATGCAGTTTCCCAGGGCTCATAGTGGGTGAGTACAGAACAGCCTTCAGTGACACGAGCTCAAGTTCTTACTTGAGATCTGGAGACTATCCTCAAAAAAATAAAATAAAAAGAAATAAAAAGATACTTTTCTAGAGTTCCTACCCAAATCTTCATTGAGCTGCTACTTTCAATGAAAGTTCAGTCAGAGTCACATTTTGATGCATTTTTCTGATCTTCTTCCTAGGGATTAACAGCAGTGAAACCAATGAAAGAGAAGGACCACAGCAGCTCGGGAGCAGTTCTTAGGTTCCAAGAACCATCCCCACAGCTCCTCGAAAACCTCATCATGGGCTCCAAGACCTGATTGCCACCACTTCTCCGTGGGAGGGTGGCTGGATGCAGTCGCATCAGCCAGAGCAGAGGCCCAGAGCCGCCAGAAGCTCTCCAGCCCCACACAACCGTGACACCAGAAAGGGAAACTTCATGAGCAAGGGGTGCCTTCCCTACCGCATCTTTCTCGTGCTTGGTCTGCACGCTGGTGGTACTTCCCCAATGAAGCTAAGCCCTCTAGTGGTTCATCAGCAAAGAGCCATATAGGGAGAACAACTGAAACAAAGCAAAACAAGAAAGTCCTTCAGCACCCAAGCAACYTCCTTCAACTGACATTTCTCCTTTAGAAAATAAGCCTGTTATTTTTAATATATGTAAATTTTATCACTCCAGGGGATTAATAGGGCGCTTTCATAGGAGCAGAGTTAAGTTGGGAAAGCATTTTTATTATGTTAAGAGCTTTTTGTTTGAAGAAAAAAAAAAACAGAGATAGTATCTCCTGATATATTAGTTGCAATGCGAGCTTTATTTTCAGCCTTTCCATAAGAGAGCAACAAAAGAAAAATCTCCAGTCGTTACAAGCTGTTCTGTGGGCAGCAGAACAGATAAATCTGTTTTCCCTCTGACTATGAAAACCACCCCTTAAGTTACCCCTGTGGTTTCTATCTCCCCATGGTGCCTCCGTGACTTTCACCTCCCAGTGACTCTGGATCCYCTTATTCCCCGTATTTCATTGCTCCAGCAGTTAAGTCAGAATCGGTTTTGGACAAGCCGCAGGATATTCTCTGCAGCTGCCAACTGGCAGGGTAGGACCCATTTCCTAAGCAGGCCGAGAGCTGCTGCTTTTCAGTAACCACGTGAGCCAGATGAATAGAGGGTTATTTACCCTCAGCTGAAGCTAATTAATATCTATGGAAATGGCAGTCTCCACAAAACACATAGGAATCCAGTAGTCAAATTGGGAGTTATTCCAGCCTCAAAAGCTGTAGTCTGTAGCATCTTTTACTTAGAAAGTCAAACTACAAGTCTGAAATAAGAAATCCTAGCAGTCTCTAGCAGGCCCAAGAGCTGGAATACTTTCCAGCAATGCTATTACAAGAGAGAAACTTGGAGAAACTAGAGATTTGTGGATTGCCATGACTGAAGGGGACCTATTGGTCAGATTTGAAGCAGGGACTGAGGAAAGTAAATTACTAAGGAGATAGAAACAGTAACACCAAAACCAAATTCTGGAATATTGTTCCCTTAGCATTAGACAAAAAGAATCCAGGTAAGTAAACTGGCAATAGCACGTGCAATAGTCCCTTCCACTTCAGTGAAAAGGCAAGAGCTTGGGTAGGACTTTTCTATTTCTGTATAGGTCAAGTAATGCTATATTTTGTGGTAGACCCTGAAAGCTGAAGTGGGAGATGGGTATGAAATTCATTTTCACAGCACATTCCTTCAAAGCTACATGTTTGATGCTTGATAACTACACTTCAAAGGACAACTGCTTTCCAGAGAAAACRCAGGAAAACACCGTAACAACTCTTAACATCTATAAAAGCCATAGCTATTTTCCTGAGTCATAGCAAAAGGGGGGAAAAAAAGTAGTAGTATTTCCAACTCCCCAACTTAATTCACACAGAAAGCCAGTTTTACTGCCTGGGTACACTGAAATGATCATTAAACAAGAAAAGAAATTGCACTTTGGAAAATTTCCAAGTATCAAGGTGCTTCTACTAGTTTACTATTGTCTTGCCAGGATGTAAGAGAGGGAAAACCTCTGTCTCACGGAGCATTCTAGCCAAAGTCAGGCTCTTGGATGATTAAATCTCCAATGTTTATTCCAGTTCCTGTCCAAAGGTTTTCCAAAGCAGGGAAAGCTTCTCCAACCCTAGGTAGATCATGACCTTTTTTTCAACTTTGGTCACACTGCCATCCTTAAGGCACTCAGTTATCTCCCCTGTCTCATGATAACAGGCAACCTCTAGCTTGTTGCCAAATTCAAATATTTTTTTTTCTTAATAAGTTGTTTACATGCTTGGTCT